ATGAGATTGGGAACAGGGCATTTTATAGTCAAACTGTAAAAAGAGGGCTGGGTGGGCCTGGAGTGATGGCTCAGCAGTTAAGAACACTGGTTGTTCTTTCAGAAGACCTGGGTTTGATTCCCAGCACCCACATGGTGACTAACAACTATCCAGTTCCAGGGGATCCAATGCCTTCTTTGGATCTCTGTGGGCATGGTACAGCACGAGTGCACTTACATACATGCAAGCAATACACTCATAAAATAAAATAAAATACATTGGTGGAGCCATGCATGGTGGTGCATTCTTTTAATCCCAGCATTTGGAAGACAGAGGCAGGCAGATCTCTGTGAGTTTGAGGCCAGTCTGGTCTACATAGCGAGTTCCAGGCCAGCGAGGGCCACACAGTGAAACCCTATCTCAAAAATAAATAAATTAGTGGGTTACAGAAAGTGGGGCAACCCCAGCTATAGGTCTTAGATGAACTTTAATTTAATTTTTTTTATTTATTTATTTTTTTTGCTGAGTGTGTATCATTACCTGTATTTTCATATTAGGCTTAGCAGAGTTAGGAAGAAATGCATTAATATTTGAATATTACTATTCCTAGGTACTGAAGCACAGTCTTCACTTTTGAAGTCAGTGGCTTTCTTTTTAGAAAGCATTGCTACACATGACATCAAAGCAGTAGAACAAGGCTTTGGTGGTGGGATGGCAAGTGGTCCACCCAGCCTACAAGAGGAGGAAAAGTACAACTATAGCAAATGCACAGTCTTGGTCCGCATTATGGAATTTACCACGACCCTGCTCAACACTTCCCCAGAAGGCTGCAAGGTAGGGTCTCATCTACTGCTCTGTTAATCTGAGATCAGACATGGTACTGGGGAAATGGATTTAAAATTTCCTCTTATATCATTAGCTGTCAGGGAGAGGCAGATCAAAACAACATTGAGATTGCATCTTAGTCCAGTTAGAATCAAGAAATCAAACAACAAATGTGGTGAAGATGACAGGAAAAGAATCTGTTATGTGCTGTTTGGGCAGGGTCTGGGAGTGTGTTCAGTGGGAGAATGCTTGCATACCATTTGTAAGGCCTTTGGTTTGAGCCCTAACATTATAATTTCACTTAAAAAATACACTGCAAGCCGGGTGTGGTGGCACACACCATTAATCCCAGCACTCAGGAGGCAGAGGCAGGTGGAGCCTGGTCTCCATAGCAAATCCAGGCCAGCTAGGGCTACAGGGAGACCCTGTCTCAAAAAGACCAAATATATATATATAGTGCTGATGGAACTGTAAATTAGTCTAGCCACTGTATTGCTCAAAACCACCATATTAGTCCAGGCATATCTCCTAATGGAATCATATAGTCCAGGCATACCATTCCTGGGTATGAACCTAACGGAATCATATAGTCCAGGCATACCATTCCTGGGTATGTACCTAATGGATTCATATAGTCCAGCATATTGTTCCAGGGTATGTACCTAAAGGAATCTAGTTCAATCATATAGTTCAGGGTATATACCTAAAGGTATGTAGTCACCATGTGATTGCTAGAAACTGAACCCAGGTCCTCTGCAAGAGCAGCCAGTCCTCTTAACCACTGAGCCGTCTCTCCACCCCTGCCTTTGCTCTTCTTTAAAAGCACCCAATTCTATTTTCATGCCCCCCCCCCCACTTTAGGTTCCATACATGGCAGAAAATGTGATATTTGCCTAAGTCTGGCTTATTTCACTTAATAGGATTCTACTTATTCTCCTGTAAATGTTATTTCATTCTTTATGGCCAAAGATTAAGTAGTACTCTACTGTGTATATAAATACATACATACTCTTCATCCATTCATCCGATGATAACACCCAGGCTGGCTCCCTACTGTGAATAGTGCTGCAGTAAGCATGCGTGTACAGGCGTCTCCCTGAACGCTAGTTTGATTCCTTTAGGTACATATCCAGGAACAGTGCCTGGACTATATGGTTCCTTTAGGTATATACACAGGAATGGTATGCATAGACTCTATGACCTTCATGGGCACTGCACAACGGGTATACCTACCTACATGTAGGCAGTACACTCATACACATAAAATAAAAATAATAAATTTAGAAAATCTGAAAATAAAAAAAGAACAAAGGGGTCAAGGGAGTCAGGAGAAGTGGACAAAGTATGTTAGTGGGATATTAGACCTGATAAAAATGTTACATGCATGTATGATGTGACAGTGACACCCATTACATTGTATAATTAATATGTGGTGATAATGATTTTTTTTTAATGTTCATGTTAGAACTGCTCCTCTGGAACTTTCCATTGTTGGAAATTATCCTTATTTACTTTAATTGACAAGTAAAAGCTGTGTTCATTTATGGTGTACAACATAGTTTGGTGGAGTGGTTAAGTGAAACCAATTAACAACATTTCTTTTCCCTCATGTATATTTGTTGTGAGAGCAAATCAAGTGTAGTCTTAGCAATTTTCAAATATGCATTGCAATTAACTATAGTCACCACAGTATACAATCTGTTTTACATGTTGAGCATCCATAATCTGAAAAACCAAAACCTGAAAGCTTTTAAAACATTTCAGATTGTAGAGCATTTCAGGTTTCTGCTTTTCACAGTGGTGCTCATGTGGTATAATCTGCCCAGGTATTCCAAAACTGAAAAACCTCAAGTCTGAAATCGTTCTGGTTTCAAGTATTTGTATACTATTCAGTCCTTTTGAGAAAATGTCTCAAATTCTATCAGTATCAATGTTCTCAGCCTTGTGAACTTGCTTGCACTGTAATGAAAGTATAGCTACTGGCTGAGAAGTGTTTTTATTCAATCCATCTTTTATATTTTTATAGCTTCTAGAGAAGGTCTTGTGTAACACAGACCTGATGAAGATCTTGGTGAAAATGCTATGTGAGCCTATGAGCATAGGTTTCAATATTGGCGATGTCCAGGTTATGGACAATCTTCCCAGGATTTGTGTGACCCTGATGAAAGCAATAAAGAACTCTCCATATAGAGACATGCTGGAGACTCACCTGAAGGAGGAAATGACAGCACAGAGGTGGGCACTCAGATAACTCAGAGATTTAAGGTCTTCACATATCCAGGGTTCCTGACATCCATGTGCACAGCTCTTGTAGCTACCATGTCCTCAAGGAAGGCTCTTGTCTGTGTGCCTGTATGTGTGTGCGTGCACAAATGATCTCATTTGTTTGGAAATTTGAGTTTCAATAATTCCTTTTCCTGCATGTAGGATGGGAGTGAACATCAGATGGGGTTAGCACCAGATTTGCTTTCCATGGCTAGGCTGTGTTTGTGAGCCTTTTTCTGGAGTTATCTTTCTGTTTGCCTGGACTATATTAATGAATTTGAGTGCCAGGTGACTAGTGAATTCATAACAACACATGCATTTCTTTAGTATATTATAAAATTTAACAATATTAGAACTCAGCTGGTTTTCTATTTTTCTCTTGAGCAGTATTGAGGAACTCTGTGCCATTAACTTGTGTGGCTCTGATGCTCACCAGGAAAGGACAAAGTTGCTGTCAGTTGTGTCAGCCTGTAAGCAGCTTCACAGAGCTGGCTTGTTGCATGTTATCTCACCATCTCAGGTAACCATAATCAACTTGATTTTACATGTCTTTTAGCTTTATTATGGTAATTAATATGTGTATGTATATTATTAAATGTATTTGATATACAGAATGTACTGAAATAAAAGTAACAGAATACTTGCTGTAAACATGTAGGCAGTGTTGTCTGGAATGTAAACATGAAAGTAAATACAAAATGAAAGGGGAATAAAGGACAATTAGATTTTTCCATAGTAAATACTTGCTGCTCTTGTACAGACCTGAATTGGGTTCCCAGCACCCACATTGGGCAGCTCAAGCTGCCTGTAAATTTAAGAACAATCTGCTATTGTGCCTACATAACAGGAAGACATAAATGAAAGTTGTAGCTTAGAAAACAAAGCTGAGTTAGAACTGTCCCAAGCATTGGAAAATAGTTATCAGTATTAACTAACATGAATTTTTTGTTTTGAAACAGTGTCTCACTCTACAGCCCTGGCTGGCCTCACAGAGATCTACCAGCCTCTGCCTCCCCAGAGATGTTATTAAAGTTGTGCACCACTATGTCCGGCTTCTAACATGGCCTTTCCCCCCCGCCCTTGTCTCCAAATATTTTAATTGCTATAAATTTGTTTAAAAATACACATTAAACCGATTTTTGACACTCTACACTTTATATAATCACAAAACCATGAAAAATGTATAATATACTATACAGATATGGAAAAATCTAGTTAATAATATATAATACTTTGCTCACCATTAACAGCTTTATTTTGTGAAATGCACATACTGGCTTAGAAATCCTAGCTTTTAAGCCCCTAACATGAACTTTTAATTAAGAAAAAAATTATTTATTATTTTTATTTTCTGTGTATGTGTGTATTCCCTGCATGTAGGTAAGTGTCGTGCAATGCCCGACGAGGTGAAGAGGCTGTCAGATCCCCTGGGACTGGAGTTACAGACGGTTGTTAGCTGCCATGTGGGTGCTGGGATTTGAACCTGGGTCTTCTGCAAGAACAACCAGTGTTCTTTCCTTCTGAGCCATCTCTCCAGCCCCAATATGAACTTTTTTTTTTTTTTTTTTTAAATTTTGGGTCTTTTTGAGACAGGGTTTTTAAAACTGTCTTCTCACTGGTATTTAATGTCAATTTTTATTTCAGTCTAAAGCCTTGCATCATTCCATTGGCATGCGACTTCTCTCCTTGGTTTATAAAGGCATCGTGCCTGCAGAGGAAAAGCAGTGCCTACCATCATTGGACCCCAGCTGTAAGGTCCTGGCCAGTGGACTCCTGGAATTAGCTTTTGCTTTTGGAGGACTGGTAGGAAACAAAGCTACATGTCATGGTGTCCTATTGAAGGATATATATAACTTACTTGTGGTATGTCTCTAGAAAGTGTGAAATTTAGTTAGGTAAAGTCTTAGCTGGTTATGTATTGTAAATGATTTATATGTACTGACTTTCATTCTAAAAGACTTTCTTCTTTAAGACTTTCTTAAATAAAATATAAAAAAAAACCCCAGCATTCTTAAATTAAAGTTTTGTCTATCCAGCTTTGTTTCCAAAAGGACTTTAGGCAAAGAACATTTTGTGACTAAAGGTGACCTGTGTTGACACGTAGTCCCTTTCCCTGTCCTTGGTGGTGCTTGCGATGGTTTGAAGGACCCTGGAAAGTCATCACAGAGGCAACCGAAGCACCACAGACAGTCCTCATGGTTCTTTGAACTGAGCTGGTCTGGCCTTAGCCTGGTGTGAGAGATCTGCAGCCAGCCCTGTGCCTTTGTTCCATTCCATCCTCCCTTGTTACTTCCCCATTACTGGAACTTCTTTGTTCACTGATGTTCTCAGTTGTGTTTAAGTTGTCCCAAACTACTTACCCTTTACTATTCTCTGAACAGCAGCAATATTTTTCTGGAAAGTTGAAAGCAGTTTCAATTTAGAGTGTTTCTTTTTCAAAATGAAACCTAGAAAATAAATGAAGTATATATAAACTTGAGCCCTGACTTTGCATGCCAGATGTTCTTAGAAGGCTCCCTGTATACTTACTGTGAGTCAGCTAATTAGAGTCTTGCTGCAATATGAGCAATGGACATTTACTGTGATATTCTTTCTTCCTCAGTGTGAGCACCTTGTGAGCTTGCTTCTGAATTCAGCACTGCTGTCCACCCAATATTTGGGCAGCTCACAGAGAAACATCATTAGCTTCTCCCATGGAGAATATTTCTATAGCTTATTTTCAGAAATAATCAACAGTGAGCTGTTGAAAAATCTGGATCTTGCTGTATCAGAGCTCACGAAATCATCAGCAAGGAATCCCAAAATGGTAAGAAGATTGTTTTCTAAATCTTTTCTTACATAATGCTCATAAGATAATTGTCATGTTTCTGAAGTTTTTTCTTAAAACAGAATTTCTTTTTGGAAAGTTACAAGTTCTTGCTGATATATATTTGAAAATAAAATCCACAAAAACAAAACACGGTCTTTATCAATAGTTAATAGATATGAATAGTTACTTGTTAATAGATATGAAACATTGATTACCTTTTCCATTTCCTCATACCCCTTAAATCTTTAGGCCTAGCACTGTAGGACAAAACCTTGTAGGATATTGACTTGCAAAAATGTCATGTTGGAACTTCCACACCTATCCTATGTCCCGCCTGTTCTTCCCACCTTTAGGTGTCGCTGGTCTTCCATACTGCTGACTTGTATTCAGAGTACTCAGGGCCTTAGTGCCATGTCATTTACTGAAGCTCTTGCTATAACCTTCTTTGCTTCATCATACTAATCCTCCTCTATACTTAATACTGTATTTGCTTTTTGTTTGTTCAACTTACGGGATTCTGAACTGTGACTTCATGCTGCTTAGTAAATACTCAGAAGCTAAACTGTTAGTGTGACCCATTTTAAGGGAGAATATATAATTTTCTACTAAGCTGAACATTTACTCAAAAGTGCTTATTCATTGTCAAGAAGTATTTACTGGTAGATGACATTAGGAATTTGTTAGAAATAAACATTTTTAATTTTTTAGCTGTTCAAACTTATGGTGAAAATGTTGAAGGGAAAACCTGTGCTCTTCCTTTGTTCCTTCCCCACAACTCTCGGAAATGATAGAAAGCTTAAGTGAAAGAAAGCAGTTACAGTGTTAATGAGTACAGAGAAAAGACTTCTGGGATGAGAAGAGCTGCAAAGCAAAAGGGCAAATGTGGCAGAATTCATGTCCCTTAGCCTCTCAGTGACAGCAGAGAGGTAGCAGTGTGGCCAGTGTGCTCAGAGAGTATAGAAGGCACTCTGGGTGTAAAATGAGCCTATTCGGTGGCCGGCCACTCTCCTACATGTCAGAAAGTGAAGGTCATGATTCTTTGGGGGATGAGTATTGCTTGATTTCTGTCATGGTTTGATTCTTCATTGCTGTGACAAAACACTCTGACCAGTACCAACTTGGGGAGGAAGGGGTTTATTTGTCTTACATCTCCCAGGTTGCACGCAGTTCATCAGGGAGCCCAAGGTAGGAACTCAGGGCAGGAACCTGGAGGCAGGAGCTGGAGCACAGGCCATGGAGTTATGCTGCTTACAGGCTTGCTCCCTTGGCCCCTGCTCAGCCTGCTTTCTTGTGCAACACAGGCCCACCTGCCCAGGGGTGGCACCACCCACAGTGGGCTGGGCCCTCCCACATCACTCATCAAGAAGATGCCCTTCAGGCATGGCCAATAGAGGCTATCCCCCAATTGAGGCTCCCTCAACCCAGGTGTGTCAAGTTGACGCTAAAGCTATCCATCACA